GGCCCGCACGCGCGCGCCCCGTCGCTGCCCGCCTGCCCGCGCCCCGGCCCGGGAAGGTAACAGGCGCCCCCGCGCGCAGCCTCCTCCCAGGCCCTGGCTTCCCCTTCCCCGGTCCGGGCTTTCCTCCGGATCCCCCAGCCAGCCTCGGCTCCTCTTCGCTGGTCCCCAGCCCGGGCTTCGGCGCCCCTCTCCCCTGACCGGCTCCGGCCCCGGTCCCTACTACCCCGCGCCGCTGGGCTCCGCGCTCTCCGTCCCAGGCGGGCGCCGACCCCTGTGTGATTTTCAAGCCCTCTTCTCCGCGTCTCTCCCGCCTCTCAGACTCTCCTGCTCCTCCCTCGTCCTCTGTCTTTCTCTTTCTCTTTCCTGGCGCGCTCCTGCCTGAGGGCCACTCGGCAGAGCCCGGCAACTCGCCCGCCTGCAAAGCCAATGGGTGCTCCCAGGTGGTGGGGGGCCCGAGGTATACGGGGGGGCGCGGGCCAGGGGTGGGATCATTGGGGTGTCTCGGGTCCTTGAGGGAAGCTCCCACAGCACCTGGAGCCTCTCTGCAGCTGGGCCCTGAGGTCTCCCGCTACACGCACACAGCAGGAGCCAGGGGAGAAGTTTGGAAGAGAATCTGCTTTGCGGCATAGGAGCCCCTGCATGCCCGCGCTTCTTGGTGGGGGGGGGCACTCATTCCCTCACCGCCCCTCCTTGGCCCCCACGTGGGTCTCCTTTGCCTGCAAAGGGAAAATGCATAAAACAGTAGCTCTCCAGGGACCCGGGTTTCCCTAACAGGAAAGATCCCCGCAAAGACGGGAACACTGCAGGAAGCACCCCTGGGAGTTCAGGCCTAGGCTGGTGCTCCTGACCCGGAGCGCCCCACCCTGTCTGTGAGGATTTTTTGTGCCCCCCATACCCCTTTGTTCCCTGAAGGCTGGCCCCCTCACACCCCAATCTCCTCTGCTGTGAGTCTGTAGGGGAGGCCCTGACATCTTCCCAGAACAGAGCCTGTCCACCCAAGACTCCTTGGTCAGAAGTCACAGAAAGGGCACCCACTCAAAGCCCCATGCACCCTAATCCTTCTGGGTCCCTTAGATGGATCCCTGTTCTCCATAGTCCCAGAACTAGTAAGGAGGTGGCAGCAGCCAGATCCGGAGCTTCAAAGCAGAGCAGTCACCTTCAAATGCCCCCTGGGCCCTGCCCCCGCTTCAAGCAGGCAGGCTCTAGACTCCTCTGAGCTGGGTTCTCCCCTTCCCCCAAGCTGTGAGGACCCTCTCCTTCATGGAGCAGTCGAAACCTGGCTTGGAAGTTCCAGGGGTTGTGTGAGACCCCTTTGCAGGTCTGGCTGTGGGCCTGGAGCCTGCCCACCCTGCAGCCGTCCTCACACAGGGACTCTCTCAGGTGGTGCCTTGGCCACCTGGACCTTGACCACAGAGAGCTAGCCCATAGGCGTTGGGCAAGGGGAGTCACTGATGGTCTCCTGGACCACAGACCTCGGCTCGGGCAGGCTGGGCAGAGCGAGGACGCAGCTCTCCCCTGGCCTGCCCAGGGCAGCCTCTGACCATCCTGCTCTCCTCTAGGAAGAGGACTCCTGGCCACACTTGAATGTGAGTTCTGACCCTCGGAGGAGTCTCTGAGGAATCGAAGCCATCATCATGGAGTTCGTGATGAAACAGGCCCTGGGAGGTAGGAAGTGGGGCTGGGCTAGGGAGGGGGCTGTGGGGACACCACTGGGGACAGACAGACATGGGACACACAGAGAGACATCTCACACTGGGCTCTCTCAGGCTTGCTCACCTCTCGGTGGCACACACCCAGGGCCACTGCCACCTTCAGTCCTCACATACAGCTTGTGCCCACACAGCTGCACCCCGTCTGCACAAGCTCGAGGTGGGGCGGGAACCAAAGGCTGTGTCTGGCAGCACCCCGGGCCCAGTACTTTCTAGTCTCCAGTGCCAGCACTGGCGTGGGGGAGGGGTGGCATGGCTGGGCTGAGCCAGTTGAGACAGTGCTGAGGCAAGTCAAGGGTTGGGCAGCCTCAACCCCACTCAGGGAGGATGGGTCTCCCCCATGGCAGGTTTGGGGGGCCAATTCGAACTGTTTCAGGGCCAAGAGAGCCCCACAGGACTTTGCTGCAGGTTAGCAGAGCTGAGAGAGCGATGAAGAGATGCAGGGTGACTGCAGCAGGAGCAGAGGTGTGGGCACAGAGCTGGCCTGTGGCCGTGGGTTTCACCCGGTGGGCGGCAGTGCTGTCCACAGGGAGCCAGTGCTACAAGGACTGGAATAGGAGAAAAAGCCAGGACAGCTGTGTGACCTGACCCCCTTCCAAGGAGGCAGAGTGTGTGCTGGAGGGCAAGCCCCCTTCTCACCTCCTGTCCCTGCCTGGTCCAAGGCCCTCAACTGTGACTGGAGACCGTATCTAGGACTGAAAGGTGGTAGAAGACAGTGGGCTGAGTCCCTGGGCCACCAGGCGGCTGGAGCCGTGGGCTGAGGGGCTGGCCCCTGCTGGTAGAGATGAGTTCTGGCAGAGCTGTGGGATCAATTCCAGCCTGAAAGTCTTGGGGCTACCCAGAGCCACTCATGCTGTACATCCAGCTCTCCCGGTGCAGTGTCAGAGCCTGGAGCCCCCAGAGGTGGGAACCGCGGCCACGATTTTACCACCAGCCATATCTCCCTTGGGGCAGCATCGTCTTGACTGGCATGGCCTCCTTAGGAGCACCCTGACCCGGCGCCATTCGCAGCTTGTCAGGCACCGCCTCACGAGGCTGGCCTCCTACTCTGAAGAAGAGGGCAGTGGGGAGTGTTTCTCCGGAGAGGAGGAGCTGGTTGCAACCAGAGATGAGGGGAGGACAAGGGCCCAGCACTGCTGCCCCCAGGATAGGAGCCTCATTCGTGGCCGTCTCCTAGAGGTTGGCTGTGCTTCCACTCAACACAAATAAATGAGAAGACGTTTGTGTCTGGCCACGGGCCATGTTCCCTGAGATTTCATGGTCAAGGGTAGGCTGCAGGTTGAGTCTAATTATAATAATTACATCACCGGGACATGATTCAGGGACAAGCCAGCATCCTGCACCGGGAGGGCCCCATGTTCTACCCAGTGCGTCCCAGGCTGCTACAGATAATTAATTAGGTGGCTAATTCAGGCCCTGAGGTGGGCTTTAAAGAAAGCCGAAGTATCTGATTTGGCTGTCTACGTGGCTGAAATTAGCTGGGTAATTGCCAGCCTGGGTTCCCTCTTTGTTCCATGTCAGCCCAAAGTTTCTCCTGCAGAGGCGACAGGCTGACTTCACAGAGTGTCGTGGCAGTCAGTCGCAAGGAGGGCAGCCCGGTTGGGAGGGAGGCCCCTGACGGCCCCTCAGAATGCGCGCTCTGCAGCAGCCACTCCAGGGCCTCAGGCCTAGCCTTGCCCGCCCCACCCCCAACTCCGATCCAGAGATCCAGCGCTGCTGGGGTGGGGGCGGGTGCGGGTGCGTGACTTCCAGGCTAGACCTTGTTTTCTGCTCCACAGCCTCCTCTCCCCACCAGGCGGGAATCTTTTCTGGCGTCTCAGGATGAGTGAGTGAGAGGGAGTGAGACAGAGGAAGGGGAGGAGAGCTCCAGACAGAGGGACAGGGACAGTGGCCCCCAAGAGATATAGCCAAGAGAGGCAGCCCCAATCCCAGACACAAAGAAGCCAGCAGCTAGAGAGCAGAGGAGCCAGGAAGCCTCCCAGACAGAAGCCAGCTGAGAACCAGGGACAGAGTTGGAGAAAGAAAATAGCCCAGAAACAGAGACTGAGAAAAAGACAGAAACGGAAACCACTCAGGACGCGCAAAGAGCCGACAGAGATGGAAACGGAAGCAGCGCCAGGAGAGAGTGCAAGAGACAGACAGAGACAGACAGAAACGGAGAGAAAGGCAGAGTGAGAGACAGGGAGAAGGCTGCATTAGAAGCAAGCTGAGAAATCGATTTGGGCAGAAGTACAGACAGCACCCCACATATGCACACATGCACCTCCGAGAAAGACTCACAGACGAAATGGGGGAAGGGACCAGGGTCTGGAGAAAGCCTTTGGGCTGAGGGACAGGCCTCGCTCAGCTGCACGGGAGGCAGGGCTCAGCGCGATGCGGCCTAATTACATCGTGGCCATTTGGAGCTGTCTGCAGCTCAACAATTGCAGAGGAAGCAGTGGCCCAGGGACATAGGCCAGGGCCTCTCGCCTGTCCCTCTCCCAAGTCTCGGACAGGGCCTTCATGGTGGTGTGGTGAGCAGGAACAGCTGCAGCTGGACTCCAGAATCCCATAGCAGATAGTCAGGGGTGTCCACAGGCTCCCCAAGCATGTGAGCATTTCTGCTGGGCCGTGTCTGTTTTGGCTTTGGGGGTCGGGGGGCGGGGGGGTAGACCTGGAGAGGAACTGGATCTGGCTCACCTGATGAGTTGTGTGCCTTTGGGCTTCAATGTCTCTGTCTCCAGCCCTGAGTATTCCCCAGGGCACAGCCATTGCCTGTGGGCCTGGCACCTACAGCACCCTCCCTGCTCTATGGGGTTGGGCTGGCAGGGCCTTCACTGGAAGGCTGAGCTGCACCTTCCCGGCACTGCTCTGCCTGTGTCCTCTGTCACCCTGTTTGTTCTACTGTCCACACACCTGCGGGTACTTACCATGAGGCAGAGTCTTGCAGAAGGAGATTGAAGAGAGGCGGCGGACAGGATGGGCAGGGGCTTGGCGTATTGGTGTGGCCCAACAGAGCCAATAAGGGCTTGAAATTCAGAAGAGCTAGCCCGTAAAAAGCTCAGCTTGCCAGCTTGGATGATTGGGGAATTCCAAGTGACCCCAAGCCTTTCCTGTAACACTGTGTGGATGCCCTGGGTCCTATCCTGTCTGCAGTCCCCAGCTGTACCCCTTAGGGCAGGCCTGTTGGGCCCGGTTGAGTTCTGGCTCTGCTGAAGGCCCTCTGCTCTATCATTCTGTCTGGTGGACATAGAGCCCACCTCTCTAGGACTATGAGGGCCCCTGGGAGCAGGCTGAGGACCCAGGGGCACCTGCTGCACAAGGAAAGGAATGTGAAGGGAGACGATCTCAGGGGGGTTCTAGCACCCACAGCCGTTTTCCTGGCTCATAGTGCCAGGTGCACACTGGACTCTGTTTCTTCTCTTTTCTTTCTTTCTTTTTTTTTTTTTTTTGGAAAGATTTTTGCTGTAGGTTGCATGCACTCGTCAGAAAGACAGAGAGAGACAGAGAGACAGAAAACAAGAAATCACCCCTCAGGGGGAATGGCCACACTGCAGTCCCTCCTCCTCCATTCTCCTCTCGGGATCTTGGGCATGCACGCACACGCACCTGGTGTGAGTTTAAGCCACTGAATCCGGGACTCAAACTGCGGTTGATTAGATGGGAGTCCAGCGACATAGCCATTATGCCAACTTCTGGTTCCCTCATCTTGACAGAGAGAGACAGAGAGACAGAAAACAAGAAATCACCCCTCAGGGGGAATGGCCACACTGCAGTCCCTCCTCCTCCATTCTCCTCTCGGGATCTTGGGCATGCACGCACACGCACCTGGTGTGAGTTTAAGCCACTGAATCCGGGATTCAAACCGCAATCGACTACATGGGAGTCCAGCGACATAGCCATTACACCAACTGCTGGCCCCTGGACTGTTTCTTATGACTGGATAAGTGGCTAGGTGGATGAGAGAGTTTCCAGGGCAGCCTCCAGCTTGTGCAGAAGCTCTGAGTGAGCCTGTGTAAGGCTCCAGCTCTGCCCCAGCCACGCCCTTGGAATCCAGGAGCCTCACCTAGCCTCTGGGAGTCCATTTCCTTTTCCCAACTCCTCTCCTGGCTTCCTGCTCCACTCACCTCGCCCGAGCGCCTCACATGCACCTGTTGTTTCCTTCCTCGGGGCCTTTCCATCTGCATGGTCACTGGCCCGGATGTCCCCTCCCACCCTGCTGCCCACCCAGCTTCTTCCTCTCCTGTGACCTACACACCACGATCCCTGCCGAGGTTACTCCCACATCTCATCTCTCAACCCCAAGTGGCTGACCGCGGAGTCCAGCCTTCCCCTGCCCAATGTGGCAACACGAGGAACTGGAGCAAGGTTGCCTGTCAGTGCTGCTGGCCTTGCTGAGACATGACAGGGCAGGACAGCTGCCTGCTGGCATCGCAGGCCTCTCTGCTGGCCACCACTGCAGTGCTGAGGACAGCTCCCCTGCAGCCCATCCACTGGCCCCTCTGGCCTGCATTCCTTGACACCAGGCCTCCCTACTGGAGCAGCCCCTCATTCTTTAGCACTCCCTGCTGCTGGGGCCTGGCCTTGGCTCACAGCCCGCCTTGTCCCTTTAACACCTGTCCACTCTTATGGAAACTGCTGGGACAACAACCACCTCGGCAGCAGGCTCCTTTTCCGGATCTGCCAAGCACAAGTGAGGTTAAACCCACTTTTTCCTTTCACTCTGCAAGTGTGTGCTGAGACCTACATCGTGCCAGGTGACCACGCAGCTGTGGGGACCCGTGCCCAAGGCAGGGGAGCTGGGCTGAGACAGGCAGAGCCAGTGGGGGAGAATTCTCCTGGGGCTGATCTCGGAGGAAAGTGCCAGCTATTGGCAAACTCGTTCTTCTCACCAAGAGAATGTCCTTGAGGCCCTGGCAGGTCTTGGGCCACCCAGGACTCACCAAGATGCACTCAGATTTCAATTAGCGAGGCCCA